ATAAGTAGCCCTTCTCTGCACTTGTTCCAGTTTGAATTCATATTTCTTGAACATGGGTGACCAGAACTGTACACAGTATTCCAAATGAGGTCTTACCAGTACCTTATACAACAGCATTAATACTTTCCTATCTTTACTAGAAATGCCTTGCACGATACATCCTAGGATCACATTTGCCTATTAAGTTGCATCCCATTTCTGTTACTCCAATCTTCTAGGTCATCCAGTTCCTCCTGTACAATATTCTGATTCTCTTCTGTATTGACAATGCCTCAGCTCACTCCTACTTTTTGTACCAAGATCACTAATGAAAACATTAAATAAGACTGGCCCTAAGATTAATCCCTGAGGAACTCCACTAGTAACATCCCTCCAGTCCAACAGTTCACCTTTCAGCACAACACACTCCCTTCTGCCAGTTAGCCAGTTTCTTACCCACCTTATAATTTTGTTCACTAATCTCTATCTTCTCTAATGTAACTAATTTCCCATGTGATGCCACAACAAATGCTTTACTGAAGCCCAACTATATTAACTGCATTTTCCTTATCTAAAAAATCATTAAACTTGAATCGCGGTATCCTATTTTACTTAGAGAACCACATTATTATTACAGACTGTGACATGAAACATAGAATTATAGGCTTTCTTTACGTAGGGCGACTGTAATGGGGGTCGCATTCATCTCTTGCAAACGCCCCATGTCCAAGTGCATGTGACTGCATTCACTCTCTAAGTTTGTGGTGGGTCTATGGTGACTCAGCCCTCTGGCCAAGTCACACACAGTCTGTATGTGAAATAAAAAACCCTTCTGGGGAAACAGTCCAACCGGGGGGACCTATCCCAGTACCCCTCAGTTGGCCTCTCTTTCCTGGTAGCCCTCCCTGGGCTCAGGCCCTTAATTAGTCCATCAGTCTTTAAAATGGCCTCGGCCGTGGTATTGAGCCGTACTCTAGGGCAGTGACTCTCAACCTTTCCAGATTATTGTACCCCTTTCAGGAGTCTGATTTGTCTTGTGAACCCCCCCAAATTTCACCTCGGTTAAACTACTTGCTTACAAAATCAGACATAAAAATACAAAAAAATGTCACAATACTATTACTGAAAAACTGCTGTCATTTTTACCATATAATTATAAAATAAATCAAACTGTAAAATATTGTTCTTACATTTCAGTGTATAGTATGTAGAACAGTATAAACAAGTCATTGTATGAAATTTTAGTTTGTACTGACTTCGCTAATGTGTTTTATGTAGCCTGTTGTAAAGCTAGGCAAATATCTAGATGAGTTGATGTACCCCCTGGAAGATCTCTGCGTACCCCTGGCTGAGAACCACTGCTTTAAGGCTCTCTCCCTGGAGGCAATGTCCTCGCCCTCTCTGCCCTTTTGGGCCCCAGCTGTCCTGCTGGGGCTCTAAAAGAGTTCATTTCCCCTTATGGGATGCATCAAAGTCGAGGACACTTTCCTAGTGGATTCTGGGGGGGAAACCCAGGCCCATTCTCTACTCCGGATCCCAGTCCAGGGAACCTAAAGATAGCAGCTGTCCGCCATGCCCCTTTAACTAAGATGCATTGCTGCTATGATTCCCTGGCCACTTCCCCATGGCCCAGCACTTTCTTCATCCTTACCTCAGGACCTTATCCTGGTTGAGTCTCAGCCACCAGCACGGAGCTCCTTCAGCCAGCCGAGCACACCATCTACACTACTCCAACTCCAGCAAGGAACTAATCTCACTCTGGCCCTGCAGCTCTTCTTACACTAGACTGCTGGGCCCTGATGGGCTGCTCCCTGCAGCCCCTTTCTGATTGGCTGTTTCCCCACACAGCCACTCTAAGCAGCTTGGAGGACCCTCTCCATAGCCCTTCTCTAGGGTGAGGTATGGCAGGGTCGCGAGGCCTCAATCAGGGGGCATTAGGGCCTGCCACAGTGACCATACATCCTGTTTTTGCCAGGACAGTCCCATTTTTAAGCTCTGTCCCGGACATCATGACATTTTTGGTAAATATGGGCATTTGTCCTATTTCCTCTGCGCCCCTGTGGGGTAAGATCAATGTTTGGACAAGAGCAAACAGGACAAATGCCCAGTTTTGCAACAACAACAAAAAAAAGAGTTGCAGCAGCCCCTCTGGCCAGTAGTGACACCAGCCCTCCCAGGTCAGCAGCCCCCACGGCTGGCCTGAGCTACCTGATGTTGCCACTACCTTCAGAGCCAGGTGTCTGGCCAGCAGCCATCGCTTTCCAACAGCCCAGCTCTGAAGGCAGTGCCACCAGCAGCAGCAGCACATAAGTAAAGGTGGCAATACACCATTGTCCCATTTTCAGTTTAGGGAAATATGGTCACCTTACCTTCGTGCAACAAGTAGCACTTAAATTCACCCCCTCATTCCTCTCCCACTGGAAGGTAACCTAAAAGTGATGTAGAACGCAAACTTGAAAGGTGTCTTCCTTTCTCATTTTATGTTGCTCCTTCCCCTTAGAAATAGCTGGTCTCAACTTCTCTGAAGGATCTCAAAACAAAACCACATTCAGATCTGAGTATTTCCATGAGGGTTGAGAAAGAAAATAGACCAAGGCTACACTACATCAACCTCTGTTTTACCTATTCTGTAGATAAACAGGACTTAATTTCCACAGTCAAGCCAAACACCTTCACCCATGAAATAACGCATTCCAAGAAAGTACATTAACACTCTAAAGAAGTCAATTGTTATTTCTGCAACTTTTAAATAAGTTGCATCTAATAATCACTGCCAACTTGAGGATAATGGGGAATATTGTAATTACGCACAGATACCTTACCCTGTTCCATGTTCAAGACTATAATAAATCAATTAATATGTAATTCCTTCAACTCATGCCCAATTTAAATTGAAATGAAAATTACTAGATTTCAGGAACAGAACAAATGCAATGCAGCCCTTACTAAACAGAGGAAAAATTTAGCATTTATTTGTTAGTTGTGGGGTCTGTTACATTTGTTTAGATTTAGAAAAGCATGAAGTAGCAGGTCATACTGATATGCATCAGTGCACTTGCCAGTAACTAACCAGGCAGAACTGGCAACTTTAACACTTTTGTTATGTTGTTTCTTTGCCCATATCCTCATTCTGACTCACGAAACGAAGTTTAGCTGATTTAGTCTTCAATAGAAGTCATTATCAGCACCCTAAATCCAATTTGAACATTAGCATTTCATTGTTTGTCAGCCTGAGTCAGGTCTGTTTTAGGCAAAGGCTCCTTAATGGCAGACTCCATCCCAGGGAGACTGGTCCTTCTCCGGGCTGCAGTCTCTATCTTCCGCACCAGATCGACATCCCAACGATGGGTTACAAAACTAACCACAGTCCCAGGCACCTTGCTGCCTACACGCCCAACCCGCCCTACCCGATGGAGATAGTCTTGCAACGTGGATGGGAAGTCATAGTTGATTACTAGCTCCACACGGCTGGTATCCAGTCCACGGGAGGCTAAATCAGTGCAGATGAGGACATCGCTTTGTCCCTTCTGGAAGGTGTTAAAAATTCCTGCTCTCATTGCTGCAGGCATCTGTCCCTGTAGCCTCAGGTGCTTGATTTTGTGATCATCTAGGATGTAGCCTAGCCAGTTGACGGTGCTGGCATTGTTGCAGAAGATGAGAAGAGCTCCGTTAGAGGGGCCCTGGTCTTTGATGAGCTGCAGTAGCTCAGATGCCTTGTCGCTGCCTTTGATGCGGATGAATTTCTGCTGGACATGGGGCAGGAGGTGGTGCAAGCTCTGGCTGGTGAGGGTGGTGAAGTGGCCCAGGCTGGTGACCTTGCTCAGCAACTGACCTAGCCCTTCAGGGAAGGTGGCTCCGACGATCACTAGCTGGGTTTTGGTGTCCCACTGGTCGGCCACCTCCTTGGGGCTGTGGGCGATGGGGGCTTGCATGAGCACCTCCTCCACCAGATCCAGGAAAGTGGGGTCCAGCAAGGTGTCAGCCTCATCCAGCACCAGACAGTACAGCCGCTCCAGCCTAACCATCCGCTTCCGCAGCGCCTTGCACAGGGCCCCAGGCGTGGACACCAGCAAGTCGGCATCGGGATCCGAGCGGAGCTGGTTTTTTACGCTGGCCATGCCCCGGCCACCGCCAATCTCCCGCACCCGCAGTCCCACGGAACGGCCCAGGGAGGAGGCCACGGTGCGCACCTGCTCCGCCAGCTCCCGGGAGGGCAGCAGCACCAGGCTGCGAGGGGAGGGCGGCCAGGTCGGGCCCAGCGAGGGCCGAGACAGGAGTTTCTGGAACAGCGGGAGGAGATAGGCCAGGGTCTTGCCGCTGCCTGTCTCGGCGGCGCAGAGCGCGTTGCCCCCGCGCAGCAGGGCGGGAATGGCGCGGCACTGCACGGCCGTGGGCTGGGTGATGGAGAGGGACTGCAGGGCGGACACCAGCGCCGGTCCCACCCCCAGCGCCTGGAAGGAGCCGTCCCTTCCCGTGGCTCTGGGAGGCCGCAGGGCCGGCGCCTGCTCTTGGGAGCGCTCCAGCTGGAAGTAGTCCCCGCAGGAGCGCCGGTGCTTCCAGCCCGCCGAAACCAGGAGCGGCCGCTCCCAGCGCCCCAGCGTCAGGCAGCGAGGCTGGCTCAGCTGCGGCCGCCGGCTCCGCAACACCAGCTTCCCCGCCCGGGTCGGAACCACCGGCACCTTCCCGCCCCGCCTGGGCGGCTCCCGAGCCAGCCGCAGCTGCATGGCCCGGGAGATCCGCACCACATTCTCCGGGGGCGGCCCGCCGCCGCCGCCGCCCGCCGGGCCCTGCACCCAGCGCACCAGGAGTCGCCGCACTGCGGCAGTTCTAGTCCCGCCCAGGACCAGCTCCCCGGCAGTCACTATCAGCGCCCCGGCCTTGCTCAGCGCCATCCCGGGCGGCTACCGCAGCCCTACACCTTGCGCGAGAAACACCCACGTGGGGGGAAAGAGAAGGGGCGCCCCCTGATGACGTGTGATACGAGTGCCGGGAGGGGAGGCGCATGCGCAGTGGGAGCCGGTGCAGGGTAGGTGTGTGGTTGCAGCAGTGCAGCGCGAGGGCGAGCGAGGTGCCGTTGGCCAGGATCTGTTGGGCAGGTGAGCGGGAGCTGGGGGTGGTGTCTCCATAGGTGCGCCCTGCCCGTGGCAGGCTGGTTCTCCACGATGGGGATGGGGATGCGCGCCCGCTCCCTCCGCCGCCCCATCCTCATAGCTGCCCCAATGCCCTGTTCCCCCGCCCCCAGGCTCCCCTTCCCTCCTCACCTACTCCAGGGCTCTTCCCTTCCCCTCACGGCCGGCCCAGGGGTCCCCTCTCCTCCCCGGGTCCCCTTCCCCTCACGGCCGGCCCAGGGGTCCCCTCTCCTCCCCGGGTCCCCCTTCCCCTCACGGCCGGCCCAGGGGTCCCCTTCCCTCTCCAGTCCCCAGCCCCCACAGCTGACCCCATGTCCCTCAGGCTCTCTCCCCCCCTTCTGCTCCAGGGCCTTCCCCATAGGCCCCCTTCCCCATCCTCATAGCCCCTTCTGCCTCCTCCCCCCCCCCCCCGTCCCTAGGCTCACCCACAGTGGACTCTGTGCCCTCACCGTGCTCCCTTCCCTCTTCTCCCCCCAAGCCCATCTTCTCCCTCCCAGGTCCAACCCCTTCCTGCGGCTGCCCCAGTACCCCTTCCCCTTGCCCCCTTTTTTGCTATGGCCACCTCACTGTCATACCCCCCTGGGCTTTTAACATCCTTAAATCCTCACAGCTGCTATAATGTCCCCTTCTCCTTTCCCTGGGCCGCTGGGCTGTTACCCCCATCTCCATGGCTGCTTCAGTGGCTCTATTTCTCCCCATTCTTATACCTGCTCCAGTGTCTGCTTCTCTCCCTTCCTACCTCCTGGTCTCCTTAGTCAAGGAGCTGCCAGAATTGTCGGTACAAAAGATGCAGGTCCTTGAGCACCATCCTGGGACCAATCCCTTGGTAGGAATCCTTGTTATTGGGTGGGAGCCAGTACTGAGAAGATGGAGCTGCCCCCTAGGGCACCATGGGGATAGTTTGAAGAGATAGAGATTACAGTGGTGCCTAGCATGTGCCAGGCACTTTCCAGTCACTCCCTGCCTCATGCAGTAAGACAAAATTTTCTCTCTCCCTAATGGCTTCTTTCTCCACCCCCAGATCTTGCTGTATCAGCTTCTAACTAGGAGGTTTAGTATTCACCTCTAACTAGTAGATATCTGCCCAATTTTTAAACCATAGGGTTGTTTTCTTCAGATGCATGCGCAGATAAGTGTTAATAATGCTAATGGGTGTTGGATGTATTGACAGAAGTCTATGCAGAACTCTTATTGACTTATCTGGTAGCAGAAGCAGGTCCCTTGTTTGTAATTAAAATTGGTCGGAAATAAGATCTGGTCAATAAGGGCCTCATACACTGCCCATTGAAGTCAATGGAAAGACTCATTGATTTTAATGGACTTTAAGTCAGGTCCTGAGAGAGTAGCAAAGTATGCTACAAAATATCTGAAGGCAAATCATTTTTAAAGGTGCTGAAGACAGTTGCAACAACTTCTCCCAGTTTTTATTCTAGGACACTGGCTCCTGGCATACTTGCAGCTTTAAAAGTTAGAACAGATGCAGATGTTATAATATACATTACAAGTTGTTTCTAATTAGCCAGGTCACCTAGATAGTTTAAACTATATATGAAAGGAGCACCTTATTCCAAATATGCTGTTTTTGTGATTAGTCCAAACTCTAGTTGCCAACTGTAGATCAATCTTAAGGATACGCTGACCCAGTAGGCAAAGAAGAAAAACTATCCCCCAGACCTCTTACCCTGAATTATCATCTTGCGTTTGTAGCTTCTTTTGTGGTGAGGAACTGCTTGGGTGCTTTTCTTCTTTAGGTTATTCACTCAGGCTCTGCTAATGTGTCACCTTTTGTCTGTGACTGACTTAAAATTAACCAGTCAGTTGTGTGAAAAATTGACTTTATACCCACAAGACAGACAACTGAAACCTTAATAATGAGAGGCCAATAGGAAAGATAAAGAGGGACTCTCACAACAGTGAGATCCAAAGATGAAACACAATGGTAGGAAAATGTCGGGGAATGCTAGGATAGATCAGTCTGTTGTACCAGACCCTTCCTCCTCCCAAACCTCAGCCCCCTATACCCAACCCCCCCCCCCCCCGAGCCTCCCGAACACCCATCCCACCGAGTCTTACCCAGCATTAGGGATGCCTTGGCTGGTGGCTCATACCCTGCGCTGGGCTCAGCTGCTCGTCCCGGCTGGGCTGGGGGTGGGGAAGGAGCACAGTTCCCCTGCAGGGAGTGACCGGGTCAGACCCACCCCCAGAAACTTTCCCTGGCTGCAGGAAATGCTGCACCCCATCTCCTGCTTCCTGCCCCCATCACTAGTTAGCCCCGGGGGAGCCACTCCCCTGGCGGCCCAAGCCCCCCGCACCCAGACTCCCCTGCTGAGCCCTAACCACATTCATCTGGATCCCCTGCAGTGTCCCATTGCCCCTGCACCCAGAACCCCACCAACAAGCCCCTGTGCATCCAGATCCTCCCCCCACTGAGCCACTTGCACTCAGATTGCCCCACACAGAACCCTCTTACCGCACACCTGGAACCCCTCTCTCCCCCCACACTAAGCCCCTCCACACTTGGATCCTGCTGAGCTGCCTGCCCACACCTGGTATTCCTGGCACAGAAGGGCAAGGACCCGGGATGTGCCTCACCACCAGGGATGGGGGGACCTGCAGGGTGATCTCCCTGTCAGTGGCCTGTGTTCCTCACTGCCATGCTGGAGCCTCCACATTTATTTATTTATTGACAAATAAAAATTGCAAATTTTTGCAGAATTTTAAAATAGTGTGCATGGAATTTTTAATTTTGTTGGTGCAGAATTCCCTCAGGAGTAGTATGTAGCTGACTCCCCCAGCTGCTGTAACGGCACCAGGACAGACCGTACACAAGCATGATAAGGCTTCAGAGCTTGAACTCTGCACCTTCTGTTGCACCCAGCATCATGTAGGAAGCCCTGTGCAATTGCTGAAGAATTGGTGTGATGTGATCTCCGTAGCTGATGTCTAATGGATGCTTTCTGCATCAGCTGAAAGTGACCCTGAAGTATAGCCCCAGCAGGAGAGTGTTGCAGTTTTCCAGTCTAGAAGTCTCAAAGGCGTGGACTGTTTATTCATATAAATTCCATACCACTTCTTTTAGTCAGATAAACTGAGCTCTACTGTGTACATCAAACACACAAAATAAACTGAAATAACATATAATTAAGGTTGCAAAGTGAAGCGCTCAGAAGTTAGGAAATGCTGGAATTAAAGTTGTCTGCATAACTTTAATTCACCCCTCTCTTGTGCATATGAGTTGTGATAGTCTTTAATTAGTCACATGGTATTTTTTCCCATATGATTTCTACCTCATTAAATGCACATAATGGATGGTACTCTTGGCAGCTATTCAGTATTTTGTTTTCTCATTGTTCACTGTCGCCCAGGCCTTATTTATTGCACATTACTGCAATCCTCCTCTGAAGACAGAATTAATAATTCCTTCATGGGTTTTTCTGTGGTACCTGATCACTATAATGTTTGTGAAGCACTCAGACACTAATGAATTTATTTTCACAGGAGATCTGTGAAATGAGAGGGCATTATATCCCCATTTTATGGATGTGGGGACTGAGATTATGGTCAAAAGCATCCATTAAGTTTGGGTACCCAATTGGAGACTAGGACTGAGTTTTACAGGGCCCGTAACATTATGTAGGACTCTGTGTTCACAGATCCAATTGACTTCAGTTATAATTGTAAGTAATCATCACTTTTGCAGATCACATACCAAAGTCTCAAGTCAAGTATCCAGAAAATAAGCAACACATAATTAGTGACCACCTCTGAAAGGTTTGATTTTAAATGAGTTGCCTTGCATCACATAGGGACTCTGTGGCAGAGAGAATCCAGTTCACCAGGGCAGCATTCAACTGCCTTAACCATGAGATAATCCTTTCTCTTCCCGCAAGCCCCTGTTCAGTGACTATACAGCTTCCAGCTTCTGCAACAAATGAAGCAGGGTTCCTACAGACAAGTCTCCTTCATTACACACCCCTGATTCATCCCCAGAGCAAGTCTATCCTGTACACTGAATGAGGCAGGAGTGCTTTGGAAAAAATGGTATGTAATTAAAGTTTGTATCATAATGCATATGCTCAAAGGAGTCAAAGTAAGGTTTCCCAGGCAACCTTAATTCTGGCAATTCCTAAATCTTGAGACCTTGACTTCGCAACTGTAATGCTTTCATCTAATGTTTTTGGGTTTCTGTGTAATTTCTGAGGCTATAAAAAACTACACTGAAAAAGCACAAATTCCATCCTGTGACATCTTATCGACCCCTACATGGGTCACCAGTAGAGTCAGAACCTTTAGATCTACCATACACACCTCTGCCCCTTGAGCTAATGGAGTAACTGATAGTTGATTGTAATCCTATATGTGTACTAGCAGTAGAGAGGAAGAAGACACTTTGTCAGAGGGTTTCACGAGTATTTGGTGACAGCAGAAGAATGGTTAGACTCAGGCAGAAATCTTTGGTCCTGTTGCAGGCTCTGGAAGGGTCTGTGCTGCAATGGGCGCAGACCCTTCTGCTCATGCCTCCCAAGCTTTACCCTCTTGCCTTGTTCCCTCCACCCTGTTCCTGTCCTATTCTCCTCACACAGCCACTTCCACTCTCCACTTATCAGGCTTCTCATCCCAGTCTGTTTGCCCAGACATTCTAAAGCAGGGGCCGGCAACCTACGGCACGCGTGCCAAAGGTGGCACACAAGCCGATTTTTGATGGCACACGGTGGCAGGCTGAGCCAGGGCTTCCACCGGGGTTTCCGCAGCAGGCTCCTGCCAGCCAGGGTCCCGCTGTCGGTCCTACTCAGCACCCACTGCTGGCCTGCGTGAAAGAACCCCAGACTGGCAGCGGGCTGAGACCCCGGCTGGCAGGAGCCAGCGGCCGAAACCCCAGAGCGGGGGCGGGCTGAGCTGCTCAGCCCGCTGCTGTTCTGGGGTTCCCACTGCTGGCCCCTTGCCAGCCAGGGTCCCACTGCTGGTCTGGGTGAAGGAACCCCAGGCTGGCTGGCAGGAGCCGGCGGCTGGAACTCCAGAGCGGCAGCAGGCTGAGATGCTCAGTCGCTGCTCTGGGGTTCCGGCTGCTGGCCCCTGGCCAGCTGGGGTCCCCGTTGCAGCCCCACTCACCTTGCTACCGGTTGGAGTTCCAGCACAGGCCCCCTGCCAGACAGGGTCCAGGCCTCCGGCCCTGCTCAGCCCTACCAGCCGCCAACTCCACTCACCTCAGCTGCCGATCTGGGGTTCCAGCCGCTGACCTCCTGCCAGCCGGTTAACAACTGATCACTCAGAAGCCTGTGTGCAGTTTAAAGTATCCAAATACGTGCCAGACATTGGAAAACTCAGCAAGGAAAAACAAGGGCAAGGATCACACTAAACGGATAAGATCTGCATTTTAATTTAATTCTAAATAAAGCTTCTGAAACATTTTGAAAACCTTGTTTACTTTACATATAACAGTAGTTTGGTTATATAATATATAGACTTATAGAGAGACCTTCTAAAAAACATTAAAATGTATTACTGGCACGCAAAGCCTTAAATTAGAGTGTATAAATGAAGACTCGGCACACCACTTCTGAAAGGTTGCTGACCCCTGCTCTAAAGCCTTCCTCCACCTTGTCCCGTGTTGTCTTACCCAGCCAGTCTCAGTTCCTCCCTCCCCAGCTCCTTGTCCAGTCTGTTTCTTCCATCCTCCTCCTGGTGTCCAGTTGACCCCTCTCTGCCACCATGCCTCATCAACAATGACTGTGCTCCCAGACAAGAGATGCACACTGCGGCACGGAAGGGACTCCTCTCTGGGAGTGTGAGAGACACTTGCATGCACTAGAGTGAGCAAGGACAGCTGCTGGTGAGCCTGGTGTCCATGCCAGTGGGCAGGGCTGGGAGCGGTACAGCAGTGCTGGAGGAGCTGAACCGGGCTGGGTGCTGGCTCCTGTGAGCAGCAGCCCGACATGCTGCTGTGGTTCCTGGTAGAGCCCTGCAGCTCCGTGGACATCCACTTTATATCCATGGATATCCTCATCTGCAGATATAATTCTGCACAGGACTCTAGTTATAAGTACACAGTAGTACTTATAAGGCTGGGAATGAAGGCTCACCTGTATTTCTGTTAGATGGTTGTCTTATAAAACAGTCTACTTTGCTCCTTAGCAGTCAAATGCAGGGATTCTGAAGAAACTCATCTGAGAAAGTGAGATTTATCCCTTTAACTAGATCCATTTTCTATCAAAATGAAAAAGCAAGCTGGCAACTTTTTTTAGTAATAAATTGTAGGTTTTAAAAATACACCCATGAATTTTGATGGCAGTGAGGAAAGGAAATCTTGATTCTATATGTCCACTGGCAGAGAGAATGTTTCTCTCATTTGTTTCACTTTCTGTTTCAGAGCATACAACAAAAGGAATGACTGTGAACACTCCAGCGCTCTGTTTCAGAAGCAAGAAAATTCTTGCTCCCATGGTGCGGGTTGGAACATTACCCATGCGTCTTTTGGCTTTGGATTTTGGTGCTGATATTGTGTACTGTGAGGTATGAAGGCTACAGAAATGGGGGAGGCTCTGTTTTCTTATGATATGGCAGTTTTATGAACAATATTGGTTTCTCAGTAGTCATAGCCTCATAGATGTTAAAGGGCTTAGCATTGTTACTGCATGGTCTTCAAACTTTCCCATGTAGCCTTTTATTTTATTTAAAGTGAATTTTGTAATGTGGTATTACACCACTGTGGGTTTGTCTCTCTGGTGGCTACAGTTTCAAGCTCAGCGGAGTGAAAGACACTTCTGCTATTTGCTTCAAGATTTAGCTCCTCTAGGAACACACAAAGACCAAGGATAGTGACCACTCATACATTTTACAAGTATAAGCCTGTTTTACAAGTTTTATTAAAGTTATGATTATGCATATATATAAAAATTCTATGAAGACCTGTGCACAAGTTACGAATATAGTTATACTCACATCTTTAACAATATTCTTATGGTCTGATGGCTGCCTTGCCAATTGATCACTAGTAGAGGGATGGTTCCTGATGGAGTTTTCCATAGGAAGCTCAATTTTTCTAACCTAGACAACCTCTTTTTATAATATGTTCGGACTATACTTCATTAGCATTTACACAAATAGTGCACCTTGTGGTAAGGGCTTGTGTTAGAAAAATGTGACTACCGGGTATCTTGTCAGCAAAAAATTACTTTTAATGTTAATTTTTTGCAAGATCACCCATAGGTACATCTTTTCTTGTAATCTTGTGTCATAGGGTCATTCTTTGGTCACTTACTTATGTCAAGCATTTCTTAAGCTAGAGGCCTAGTAACTAAGCTGACATTTTACAGGTCTCAGCCTGTAGGCCTTGCGTTTCAGCCCTACTTAGATATCTAATACATACTTACCACTTCTAATTACTGATCAATCTTATACGTCTATAATCCTACAATTTAAATCTATGTAGCATACAATGATTATCTGTGATTGATATGATATGAGTTAATTATAACACCACACAACACTCAATAAATGAATGATAAAATGGACAAATTGGCTATACATGCATTCCCTTAATTTAAAAAAATAACGTTAAGAGGGAATAGATGGCTCAGGATATTGGTAGATATAGATCCTCTGATTATTATGTTGCCATTTGAATCTAGCACAGGTTTGTCATTAATGTTTATTTGATCACTGTTTGGGAGCCTCAATGAAAGGAACATGGTAGTTTCATTTTAGTTGCAAATAGACAATTTTTCCATGAACAAAAGCCATCATCAGAACTAGCTCTAATTTTCACACTTGCTAGCATTCTTGGCGTAGAGGCAAAGGATTGAAGTGGGCGAGCCTTATGGGGTTTGTCTGTAGTACTTTTGGGAGTGAGCCTTCCAGGCTGAGTAGAGAGACTTGCGCTATCTTGGCTTGAGTTGCAGTTTCCAACCCCATCTCTGGACGCTTTCAGAAATTACCAGATAAACTGGCCCCAAAGAGATAGTGTACACACAGCTTGAATCACAGAATATCAGGGTTGGAAGGGACCTCAGGAGGTCATCTAGTCCAACCCCCTGCTCAAAGCGGGACCAATCCCCAGACAGATTTTTGTCCCAGAGCCCTAAATGGTCCCCTCAAGGATTGAACTCACAACCCTGGGTTTAGCAGGCCAATGCTCAAACCACTGAGCTAGCCCTCCCTTGCATGGTACAACTCAGGTCCTTAATAACATTACAACACTGAAATATATTTATAGTAAAACAATCTAAGTTTATTATCAAAGGTTAAATTTTAAAAGATAGTGAATAAGGCTGATAAGTGGAAACAGAAATGGCTACATATATAAAACAAAACATACAATGAAATCTTAGGTCTATACTTAGTAGTAGTTCCATTTCCTATTTAATAAAGTAGATTTTCTCCCAAGGATTCAGTCTTTGACAGAGCTTCTTGTTTTCAGTTAAACACCCCCACCCTTCAAGGAATTTCCTCTGTGAATGGATAACAAAAATTTCATACTTATAGTTCAGTAAACCTTTTGTAATGCTCTCTGGTTTTAAACTGCTCTTCCCTGATGATTTCACATCCCCTTGTTGGTTGCATATGCACATGGGGCTTCCATTGTATTGAATAATAATAATTAGTTTACATCTGAAACAGAGGTGACTAAACATGTTTTGTCTGGCAAAGAACTTGTTTATGAACTCTGCCATGTTACAGATTTTAAAACATATTTTCAGTGTGTAAGTGTAACTCCTTATATAGCATGTATACATTCATTTCACAGTGATATTAATGAAGAGTGTGTCACCAGCTTTCATTTGATACCTTACAAGAAACTATTGATTACTCCTGAGGGCATTCCATGCCAAAAAATTAAAAATTATGCGCACGATATTTTAAAACTCTGCAAAACGCTGCAAATTTTATTTGTCAATAAATAACTTTGGGTCCAGCATGGCAGTGGGCAGCACAGGCCACTGGCTGCATTGAGGGGGGAGATCACCCTGAAGCCCCCACTTCCACCGCTACAGAGACTCGGCAGTGAGGCTTCACCTGACCCTGACACAGTGCAAGGGCTGGGCCTGCCCCAGAAACACCCCAGGGCCCTGTCCCTCTGTGCCGGGTGCAGCAGGTGTGGGTGGGCAGGCTCAGCCCAGCAGGATCCATGTGTGGAGGGGCTTAGTGTGTGGGGTGAGAGGTTTCTCTGTGGGGCAATCTGGGAGCGGGCGGCTCAGTGGAGATCTGGATGTACAGAGGATTATTGGGGTGTTCCAGGTGCAGGGGCAGTGGGACTCGGCACGGGATCCAGGTGAAGGTGGTTGGGGCTCAGGAGCGTGGGGTTGGGTGTGGGGAGATGGGGCTAGGCAGGGGGTGTGGGTGTGTGGGGGCTCAGGGGGGTCCAGGTACCAGGGCAGTGGGGTTTGATGGGTTGGGGGTCCAGGTGCAGCTGGTTGGGGATCAGTGTGGTGGGAGTCAGGGTGTGGGGGGCTCATCGGAGGAGTCCAGGTGTAGGGGGGTAGGGCTTGTCACGGTGAGGGTTCGATGGGCCTGCTTAATGGGGGAGCCCCAGCTGCTGCCGAGGGGATGCCACGTGCTGGGCTCAAACTTCCCCCCATGATTCCCCTATCCCCTTTTCTTCTCCATCCCCCTCCCCTCATTCCCACATTCCCCCTCCCCCTGCCCTATTCCACCCCCCCTTCCTTCCTTCCCCACTGCCTCTGTCCTCCCTTCCCTCATTTCCCCCAGCCCCACCGTGGGCACTCACTGTTACACAGAATAGAAAACAGGAAGACTCCCAGCATGCAGAAGGGGAGCATGACTGGCACTAGGACCCAGGAGGCAGCGTTCAGCTGCAGAGTCGGTGGGAGCCGAGAGACAGCCTCCTTCATCTGGGCAGCTCTGCGCTTGCAGAATGACGGGAGAGCAGTGGCATGTTACCCCGTGTGCTCCCCCATGCCTTGCCTCTGTTTGGAGGGGGCAGCCCCCGAAAAAAACTGCACCTATGGTTGCACAGTCCTGCGGAATCCCCCCACAAGTAATTGATGGATAAATACTGTGAAAGCAGTATGTTAGGTGTAGTGAGCTTGTCTGACCAGATAGAAGTTGCTGTTACAGAACAGTGAGCCCTTTGCCAATTGGCATTAAGACGTTCTGAGGGTCACACATCCCCTCTTACAGTGAAGCAGCGGGGTCAGCCACTGGCTGTTCCATAGGCTTTGGGTCATAACCCTCTTGCCTGGACCAGTTGTCTGCCACAATATTTTTTCTTTCCTTAATATGCAGAGTTTTCATGTCATATTCTTGGAGGGTTATGCTCCAGTATAGCATTTTGGAATAAGTATCTTTGGTTTGATATAGTCGCACCAACAGAGAATTGTCTCTTGAGGGTTGCATCACACCTTATAATACCCCACGATACCCTTCAGAAGCCTTGTCTACACAGGGACACTTGGGAAAGTTAATCCAAATTAATTAAAGGTGTGAATTTAAATTGGATTAGTTAAACCACATTAAACTCATGTGCAGATGCTCTTGCCTTGGCTGTTTGGCTTGCCCCTCTCCCCATTCGTAAGCTGAAAACCTACAATTTCTAGACTGTTTTAAGGTACATAATGGTGAGTATCACAGTAATGGTGCTGTACACTGGCCCCCAAAGCACAGAATTAAAGTGGACTTAAATTGATTTAGTGTAGTTCACTTTAAAAGTGAATGTAGTTCACTCTTCTGAATGTCCCTGTGTAGAGAAGACCAGAGAAGACAAATAATCTCCAGTTCATAGATGAGGAACTGAGACACAGATGACTTGCCCAAGGCCATGCTGAAAGTCTGGTAGAGTTAGGAGTTGAATGCAGGTTTGTGTCCCAGTCCAGGGGAATATGCTGAATTAGTTCATACTCTAGATGCTCTGCCCAAACATACCCTTTTACTGGCTGCCCATGCTCATTTTCTGGATTGTACCTGCTGGCTTTGGGTTCCTTGGCAAAATAGTGTTGTGGATTGCCTGTGTTGTGGATTGCCAAAATGCCCTTTTAGGCTGGGCTTCCTGCTGTCTGGCGTCTTGAAGCTTGGGTTTCCAGCACAGAAGCCTGCAGAAAAGAACCTATACATTTTAATTCCCAGGCTGAGACACTTTTTATAGTTACAGCCTGTAGCTTTACCATACACATTGGAAGCCCTGAAAAATTGGTTTTGTAATAGAAATACTGGCGGACCCTTTAAGTTGATTGTGGAATGGCCATTGTGATAGTTTTCAAAATTATCACAGGATATGAAAACGTCTTTCTAGAAAAGAAAGGACCGATCACAATAGAGTGGGAACTTTAATCTGTAGATAACGTAGGCTCTCAGTTCATTATAATCTTCATACAATTTTGTCTTCCATGTTCCTTAACTGTTTAGCTTTCTTTTGGCTTCTAAAATATGTTGCTTTTCTGTATGATATAGAGTCTGACCTTGACTAGATAATTTGACCAAAGACAAAAAATATTTTTTGTTGTTGCCTCGTTTAATGGCTGTTGGATAGTGAAGAAATGGAGAAAAGTTGTCAGTAAAATTTGATTCTTTCAGCATTTGAGAATATCTCCAGGAAACTGCATAGTTTCTCCGATCTAGAGAGGTGGGTCCTGGACTTCTCATCAGGGTAATGCTCCTGGACTTTGCTGTTGAGAGGTTGCCTCTTTTTGTTTCAGCCTCTGAGTAATAGGATTAGTCTCCTGGCTATAGGTGTCTGGTCACTTTTTATCCCAAGCTGTAGAATTACCATAGGGTAGTTGATTAGATGGGTCACTGATCTAGTCTACGGTTATAACATTTCTGTACATATGATTATGAAATCTAATTGTGGTCATAAACTATTGTATTTTATAGTGTTTCTTTAATTTTCATTCACGTCCTTTTCTGCTGTTTCTCTAGAGCTGAAATATAGTATCTCTCATAAGAGGCAAATTAACTAATTTTACTCTGATAAACTTGCTAGTTTATTTTTATTTAGTTTTTTTTAATTCACTTACATATATTTCTGATCTTTATTCGTAGGAGCTGATTGACATAAAGATGGTGCAGTGCAAAAGAGTTGTAAACGGCAAGTACAATATATTTTGATAAAAGCTTTCAAGTACCCTTTTTTTGTTTCAGTAAATGATGGGAAATGCTCTGTTACTTTGTTGATTTGATAGCCAGAGACTCTCAAGCAGTAGCTACAAGAGGTGTTAACATTCCCATTCCATTTAATAAATTGTTAGAGGGACACAATTATTAGAACATACGCTGGAACACAAGAACATTCATGTTCACAAATAACTGGACCAAGCAGTTTCCTCTTTAATGTGGTAGCTCAGAGGGACACTCAAGGGAGTGTAGTAGTCTTCAACATAGAGCTATTCTCAGCGTAGGTCAGTTTTTTGAGCTCTTGCCTTGGCTGTTTGGCTTGCCCCTCTCCCCATTCGTAAGCTGAAAACCTATAATTTCTCGACTGTTTTAAGGTACATAATGGTGAGTATCACAGTAATGGTGCTGTACAACCCAAGAAAGCACATGCTGAAATTTTTGACCATTATGTAAACATGTAGCAAACTGGGTCTTGATTTGTTTTGTTTTATTAATGTTTAGGTTTTAGTAACGGTTAGTTGAAAAGAAAAGATGAACCTGAATTGTTCGAAGATGAAAATGGGGTGACAAAGGTGTACGTCAATTTTTAGGTTTCAGAATCTTCAACTAAAATAGTAGCTTCCACTTTGGTACGGTGCCTAATGCAATGGGGTCCTGACTTGGTTGCCCTTTAGGTGCTACTGCAACATACATTTCAAATAATAAGTAGTGACTGCATGAAAAGGTGAGGAACTGGACCAGAAACAAGGCAGAGCATAGATCTTAATGGACCAGATGGAACACATTCTATATAGATTTATAGTTAATATGGTCCCGTTGGCTATAATGAATTTTTCTGTGTAAATCATTACAAGATGACCCAGTTTGTTAACAGTTTGAATGAGAAGGGCTTAACTGACCCTTCTGAAAGCAGATACAATTTGAGTCTACAAGTATATGCCTACAAGAAATGAGATTCGTCCCAGTATGAAGGATCACCACAAAGATCTATACACCTCTCTGCCCTTCAAAGTGGATCTTAAGAGATAAAGAGGGACTGGCACATTCATCTTAAAGGTGCCAGGTGACATTGGCAATTATGATTTCTAAGGAATTTGTATATGGTGTGGTGTATTAGTATACTTTGTCTAATATTATTCATATTTTTGCGAAGAGACCACATTTGTTTTCCTCAGTTACTGACACCAGATGTCAATCTATTTCATCTGTATTTATAATGATGTTTCATTAGGATGTTCTCGGTGGCATCTGTCAGCTTAATCACATGAAAACTGCTTCTGCATAATAAAATTCTTTAATGTTCCAACTAAACCTTGGAGTCAGTTTGCTAATTTTTATATTAGCAAGTTATTGGCTAAAAAATTGTAATTTTTCCCCCATCAAACTTAGAGATTCATGGAATTCAAGCCAGAAAAGGCCATTGTGATCCTCTAGTTTAATCTCCTATATAACACAGGCCGTACAACTTCCCCAAAATAATTCCTAGAGCATTTCTTTTAGAAAAATATCCAATCTTGATTTTAAAATTGTCAGTGATGGAGAATCCACCACAACCCCTGGTTAAATTGCTCCAATAGTTAATTGCTCCCAGTGTTTTTTGTTTTTTTTTTGTTTTTTTTAAATCTGCCTTTTTTCCATTTTGAATTTGTCAGGCTTCAACTTCCAACTATTGGATCACGTTATGCCTTTCTCTGCTAGATTGAAGAGCCCATTATTAAATGTTTGTTCCTCTTGTATAAGCCTCAATCAAGTGACCCCTTAATCTTCTCTTTGTTAAACTCTAGGTTGAGCTCCTTTAGTCTATCACTATAAAGCATGTTTTGTAATCCTTTAATCATTCTCGTGGCTCCTCTCTAAACCCTCTCCCATTTATCCACATCCTTGTTGAATTGTGAACACCAGAACTGGACACAGTATTCCAGCAGCAGTCACACCAGTGCCGAATACAGAGGTAAAATAACCTCTACTCCTACTTGAGATTCCACCGTTTATGCAGTCACAGCTTTCACTTTGAACACTTGGAGTTGTGGTTTTCAACCTTTTATCCTTCTGCTAACCCTCACTGAATCACTTTTTCTTTTCTGTGATCCCATATTTACTACTTGCAGCCAGTCCTCAGTTACACCTCAGAATCCTTTGTGCCATTTTCCATGAGAACCAGTAGAGTGTTTTATGGGTGCGTTTGGCATCTGAGGACTGCTTTCAAGTGTTTAAGGAAAACTGGATGAGGAGAGCTATTTGCTTGTGGCCATGTTTTTAGAACCTCTCACCTACATTAATGAACATAGGCCAAAGTGAGCCTTGGCGTAAGTGGGTGTTATTCCCATTGAAACCAAAATGGAACTGCTCCTACTTAAACCATGGCTTAATTGGCCCCATGATGGGAGTAGAGAAGGGGACGTTTGAGGTATTTGATCCAGACCACTTTAATATAGGAATATCAGCAGTTCTGTAAAGGTAAAAATTAGTTACTGTATTTTGATATATAATAAGCTATAAAAATATTCAGTCTGAATGAGTAGAAAAATAAAACATTGAATCAATGTTACTTACAGCTTCTCAGTGGCTTGTCTGTTTTCGTCTTGTCATGGAGTTAAATTCAATTGTTTTATACTCAAATGAATTTACTGTATTAAATTCAAGGCTTCATAACACATGTGCAATTCTCATTAAGACCTTTTATCAAGAAGATTTTAGAATCTGGTAATTTCTGTAGGCTAATACAAGTCACTGTTTTGCTGTACGTACCTCTCTTCACAAATGTTTTAGAATACTGCAGTAATTCTTTTGGATTTAGCCATGGATTTTGCAGTAATCTCAACTGCAGTCCTTCCCAGAGAACCTGGCAGAGTTTTGGGGAGAGGAAAAATGCAATGTATGCTTCCAGTAAATTACAGAAATTTAAGATGCCATCAGGTTAGCTTGGGCTCAGAATGTTTTTTAAAAACAAGGTTTAAAAAAATTGAATTTTTTTCAGTTGGATTGAAGTCATTTTAATTCTAGTATAGGGTGACGGTAGGAGATGTCTGGAGTCCAGCATTCTCCTGGGGTATCCATAAGCAACACTGCAGCATTATGCCTGGTGATTGAGAACTGGAGAGTGAAAGTGACTAGTTCACATGCATTATGCAAGGTGAGAGAAATTCATGAATATTAAAGGTTCACATTTTAAAATACTTCTCACTCTTATTAGAAATTGAAAAAAATTAAACCTATTAACCTAAATGTTAAAGCTCCAAGTGTCTTTGACATAGCTTACAAAGGCAAATAATAAAACTAGTAACTGTTGTTTACTCCAGGAACTACACATCTTTACACAGGCTTTAATCCTTAAGCCTTCCCCTCTCCAAAAGCCTTGGCATGGCCTGAAAATCAACAGACCTATTTTTTGTTTTGTTTTTGCCAGAACCTGGGCTAGATTTTAAAGCCGAGGCCGCCTCATAATGAAGGCTGTACCATCAGCTTCTCCTCTAAATCAAGAGAGATTCAGTTCAGGTTCTTGCGCTAATTGTGGGTGGATCAGTATGGCATATGAGAGAGATGGACAGTCCCTCAGTAGTCTGATTGTAAGACATTTAGGGCTTTTAAAAACCTAAAAAATACCTTAAGCTGGACTAGGAAACTGTTGGAGAGCCAGTGCAGAAGATAAGAGTCCATGTCAGTTCCTGTTGGTAAGCACAGCCTACCAAATAGGCTGCCTCTGGTTCTGCATCACCTTCAGCCCCCTGGTTGGCTTAAGGTGCATTGCAGTAGCTTACAGTTATGTTAGGAGCATTGACCAAGGAATTAAAAAAAATACATATTTCAACATAACATTGTCTTTAGAAAAGCTAGCCAAAGTGCATCACTAACAGACAGAGCAGAACTGCTCTAGCCATTCAGGGAAATAACTCATTTATAATTGTTTCTATATATGCTTTCATAAACAAGTTTTGTTAAAATTTAAATAACTTCAAGTTATTTAAACTTGTGTTTAATAACTCGTGAACTAGGACATTCAACAGTAAGTCTTGCATTTCACACCGATTCTAAAACCACTGTTTTTTCACAAATATCTGTGTGAGGGACGAAGCATTGGTAGTAACACTTAATTGTCCGTTCTGTTAGTTTGTATTACAACCTAATGAACTTTTCAGTCTAGTTGATTTTGCATATATGACTCAACTCTGCATTGTTTCTTGATAAACTTTATGATTCTGACATTGAAGTCTACAGCTTTATTTGGTAGAATTTCATTTATATGCAAACTGTATATTTTTAATTGCTTCACCTGGCTTATTTTGTGATTATATTTAGCTATATTATTTTCTCCCAATTTTGTGTCTCTCTCCTATTTCATGTAGAGGTGCTTGAAACAGTGGACTTTGTAGCACCTAACGAAAGAGTTGTTTTCAGAACATGTGTGAGAGAGAAAGATTGTGTTGTCTTTCAAATGGTAAGAAACCAAGAACAGTTACATTTCTAATATCAAAGTAGATTAATTTTACTAGCACTGTACTGTTTAGATATGTCTAAGTGTAGCTCTGTGTCAGATGTTAAGTAGCTCCCAGATTTCTCAACTAGGGTTAATCTTTCTGGACTCTAATTTCACACTGATTGCATTGCAGGATTTCTAAACTAATTGTATACAAGCTACATTACATACAAGCATACACAGAATAGATGACCAATGTGTATATTGTGGGCCACAGATGTAGCTTATTTCTACACCATGTTATTTTAGCTATATGTTCGAATATACTAGTACCAAAACTAAATTACAGTGAAATGTGATCTTACCATCATTTGTAATTTCATTAAATAGAACTTATAGCTAGATATCATTTGTGTTTAGTAGTTTTACTAACATTTAGCACTTATTTTTATCAACATTTTTTGTTTTCCTTGTTCATTCATTCAGTTAACTGGTTGATTTGCATGTGTCAATCCTGTAAATATCAGTGATGTTTAACATTTCACAATGCCATACACTTCACAGAAGAAAGAAGGACATTGTTCCTGCCCCAAATAATATAAGTTTTAGACAACGCAAGCAAGGGTTGGTGGGCAAGGATTACTGAGCTACAGTCACCCAGTTCTCAGTTTAGGCATGTCTCTGTTATGGTGGTTCAGCTAAGATTTCCATATTTATAAGAAAAAGGGACAATATTTATTGTGAATATAATGTTTTTATTAGATTAAAACAAATTCAGTCTTGACTTTTAAAATGCAGGACAACATTTGTGTTATATAATGGGCCCTGATCCTGCAAAGATTTAAGTACATTCTTAACTTCACACGCTATGCTGACTTCAGATATGTCTTTAACTGACTAATTTTGCTATCTAGTAGTGGATCTCGGTCATATTATACATATACCGACTCTAAAAAGTGTATAAATGGTGTATATCTACACAAAAACATTTATTATAAAACAGAATCAAGTGAACAAATATTGATTATATCTTTTTTGCCCCACAGGGATCAGCAGATGCTGAGAGAGCATTGGCTGTAGCCAAGCTTGTGTAAGTTCTCATAGAATCTTACCTGAAAATAATTTCTTCCCCTGTGGCTTGCTGAGGTGTAATTTAATTTGTAAAGACTAGTTTTCACTTTTAGCCAAATGCAGCTATCATTTGAAACCAAGCATTGAAAACTTCTGATGCAATTTGATGTATTTTTCCCTAGTCTTCTTTATTTGTACTATTATTATTATTATTATTAGTTATTTATAAGTCTTTCAAGGGGAAGCTAATATTTTTAAAGGTCAGAAGTAAGGAATAAGAGTCCTGTGTGATTAGCAGAGCTACTAGGGTAAACAAAAGTTCCACATACCACTAAGTGTTAAAGGAGCTGCTCAGCAAGTTGCAACAGAGTTCACCATCTAGAAAGATCAGTGGGGGAGCAGCATGAACTGGCTGTACTCCTGCTCTCATTAGCAGTAATGATTTCTTTTCAAGGCAGTAGCTGCTCAAGCAATTACTTTTCATGCGAGTGACTGCTGTGCAACTTTGTAATAGGCATGCCAGGTCTCTGTCCTCAACGTGTTTTCTTCTGGGTGCTGCACATCTCCTGATAAAGCCCTATTGACCAATTTCTTCTATTCTTTGTGATTTTAAAGCTCTCAACCAGATGTGTGTTAAATGGAAGAAAAACAATGGAAGTTTTGCTTCTGTGGTGGTGAGGAATATAACTTTTAAACCCACATAAGACATTTTTCTTATTTATTTTTGAAAAATGATATAAAAGAGTCTGTTGCAGAGTTTGAGTCTGTGGGGAGAACATCCTAACTATGTTTGTTCCCTAAGACTCAGTAATCTTTGAATTCTTCAATAAAGGCAAATGAAATTCTTATATACGTATTGAAATGGCTTTGGAGACCACTGTATAAGTATACACAAAATTTAAACTAGTGAGGAGATAAAAGAAAAGATTCAGAGGTTTGGAAAAAATCTCTAAACTTCAAATTCTCATCTAAACTTCTTGGGGATGGAAAACTCACTCGAACAGGCTCTCTGGCAAGATGCTTTTTTCCTTTTTCTAGTCTGAAATATTTGTGGGGATTTTTTGTTCTTTTCTTTTCAGAGAAAATGATGTAGCTGGGATTGATGTCAACATGGGCTGTCCAAAAGAATATTCTACTAAGGCAGGTTGATTTTAATCTCTTTAAATATTCTCTTTTCCTGCTTAAGAGGCACAGGATGCAACACATGTTCTGCTTTTCTGGTTCTGGCAATTTGATTTTCTCTGTTCTGAATGTTGTGAATGTTCAATTATTTGTAGTTTCAATGAGTCATTCTATTCTTGGCTGCAACTGTGATCTCTTGTCCTTATTTTTGAATTGTTAACTGTATTTGTCCAGATCATTAGAAGCATCAGGCCAGTCATTTTATTGTTGCTCCCTTTTCTCTGATTTATTAGTCAAAATTTGAGGCCTTGCAGGCTATTTAAATTAGCAGGAGAAATTAATGAAAATCAGGTATTTCCTAGGTGCAATCCTGCTTATTTACAAAAAATGTACACACAATCATCTTTCCGTGAACATAGTAGGAACAAAGAGGAGGCAGTTTCCTTGAACAGAATTTCAAGTCTCTTTCCAGCCAGTGTTCTGCTCAGAAAGAATCTCTCTGTCGGCTTCCTCCTAGGGCCATATTAAAAGTGCTTCTCTTGCTGTCTGCTGGCTTATCTGCTTTTGTGCCCCCTGCCCTTCTCCACTGCAATCCAATCAATCCCCCTGTTTCTGTTATCACTAAACAAAAGGGAATTTCATTGCTTGCTCGCTTAGGGTACGTCTACACTACCCGCCGGATCGGTGGGTAATGATCGATCTATCGGGATCAATTTATCGCGTGTAATGTAGATGCGATAAATTGATCCCCAATCGCTCTCCCGTCAACTGCTGAACTCCAGCAGTGCGAGAGGCGGAAGCAAAGTCGATGGGGGAGCCGCGGCCATCGATCCTGCGTGGCGAGGATGCAAAGTAAGTAATTCTAATTCGATCTAAGATATGTCGATTTCAGCTACGTTATTCTCCTAGCTGAAGTTGCATATCTTAGATCGTTTCCCCCCTCCCCTCCCCCCCCCCGTCGTAGACCAGGCCTTAGGCTGAATGAAAGGCTGCCAGAATGCTCTTCAGCATGACATCATGATTGGAAGGTTCTCTTCAGCTTAAACAATATTTCATCTTTAGGTATGCAGCGGCTTCAGAAAGCTGCACATGCTGGCTGTTCATCAGGCCAATCTATTCACAGGAATAACTAGTTTGTTGCATGAACAGAAAAGCAGGGAAGCTTTGCTCTAAATAGATGTAATGTTTCTGGGGACAGGGGACAGAGGTGCTTAAGGTGACCCCTGACTTCAGTGCATCACAGTTTTCTATTGAAGGGTTACAAAACACCAAAATCTCAGCCTTCTGGTTATCGTTGTTGGCTAAAGAAATTTAGTTCGGTATTTCAACTTCCTTTAAATGAAATATATTGGGATTTTTGGATCATTTCTATTGTACCAGGGTGATGCAAATGAGTCTGACTTGCAGCATCCTTTAACTGTAGATATGAGAATTAGCATTAACATTAACTGGCATTTTAATTGCTGTTACCACTGTTATAAAAGAAAAAACTAATATTTATTCCACTCTAATATGAAAAAGGAACACCTCAAAATGCTTACATATAAAACAATTATTTTATTAAATAAAGAGATAGCAAATAGAATTAATGCTGTCGTTCTCAGAGCCAAAAATCTATTTTATTGAGGAGGAAAATTTCATTTTTATTTTTACAGCTCATTAATATTAAACAAATACCAAATATTTGTTATTACCAAATGATGCTGATTAGTTAAATCACACAAATAATCCTTAACATTAAAATTATTGCTAAATAAGAAATTAACTGGAAATCAATGATATTTTAAAGACAGTAAAACCACAACATATGAATAGAATGATCAATTTCATTAAAATACAATTCTTGATCAGTTCCTATTGTCCATATGACATTTTCATATGCTAATCTATTTATGGTTATTTATAACCGGGTAATAGTTCTCCTCTGGAATTAGATCAAGGACAGGAATAACAAAAGAGTTAAGTATAGATTATGTATTTTGGATATGGAAATCAGATTTTGATACCTTTGAGCAGTTTGTAGTTGAATTTGTGAACAGTATTCATTCTGCTATAAAATTGCAAATGTTGATAATCATAATAATTTTAGGATATACATGTTAGCATATTTCAGAACAAAATTGGTACATCTCTTTACAAGAGAAGTATAGATACAATATTTTTTGTACACGATAGTGGATTTCATGTTGAAACTATAATAAGAAATAATATTCAGTTGTTGAATTAAATGAATATGTTGTAATCAGAGAAAATGTTTAAGATTGATTGATTAGAGACACAGCTGGTAACAATGCCTATAGTCAAGGTTTTCCAATGCTTTTTAATTGTAGGACTTCAGTTGGAAATTTCAGGTTGACATGTTCTATGCTGGTCATCTGCCTCAACCTGAATATTTTTGGAAAGTTCCATCAAAAAAGATTCAGCTATTTCCAAGAACAAAGTTAGGAGGATGTGTTTTGCTAATATTAAAAAAACTAACCTACCAAAAACAAAAACCCAACCCAGTTTGTTGAGAAGCAATAGTTCCATGCTTTGGAACAGGGACTTAAAATTTGGCAGGGGTCACCTTGGGATCCCCATGATCATTCACCCAAAATTGGCAAAGTTATAAACCTCTGAAAATCACCATTTGCACTTGTTCGATAGGGATTTGTTGGTAGCGGGCAACAAAATTTTCTGAACATTGTGTCTGCGGTTCCTGAGCAGTACTTTCCCTGCAGTTGCTCTTTCTGGCTGCTGTGATCCCAGGCCCCAGATCTGAAGGCACAGATGCTCTCTACTGGGTTCTGAGTGCTTTCCTGCTGTTGCCCAAGCAGGCTGGAGAAGGATATTTCACTTGAATGCAGGTGAAACTGGAGCAGAAGAGGAAATGGGGAAGAACAGGGCTGGAGAGACCATAAGTTCGGAAATATTCTCTTTCAGAATTGAGCCCTCAGAATTGAGCCCAGGATTCCAGAGTGCCAACATTACTCTCTTGTTTAGCAGATAGCTGTGAAGCAGGCTGGCAAAGTTCACGACTCATCCCCTTCTAGTGGGTAGCCACATATAACAGCCTGCTATTAAGATACCAGTTGCTCCAACAGCTCAGGTGATAGAGCTCTGTACTGTGAATCTAAAAGTCCCAACCCTGCTGATGATCTATGTGAGATGATTGATATGGTTCCACACGATGGAATTTGCTTTTTTTCAATTTTCCTTTTTTAAAAACTGAATTTTTAAAGTGTGTAATTTCCTATGGTACGAGAACATTTAGCCCACTTAACAGTTAGGAAATTACAAAATTCAGGTTGCTGGTGCAACCTTAATTTGTCTCCCTTGTTCATGTGTTTTGAGTCTTTTAATTACATAATCTGTGTTGGTCTATTGCATGGTAATGGTAAGATCCTTCTTTAAATATACAGGTGTAATTTGAAGAGTATCAGCAAGATACCTTAATTTTGCTGGGGACATATTTAGGTTTTGCATTATTTTCAGGAAATGGATATGTGTTTTTGTGTGATTGTATGTTGGAAGGGGAAGGTTGTTGTGGAGTTGTGGGGGCTGAACTCTTGTAGGTATAAAAAAATTTCAGTGTTTCAACTTAAGGTGAGATTTTAAACCAATTTAGTGAAACCAGCGCTAAAGACTCTATAAACATAGACAAATCTTGTGTGCTTTGGATATTTTGACCCGATCCAGCAAAATACATAAGCATATTCTTAATTTAAGTATTTTGCAAGTCTGCTCTCATATTTTACTTAAAGGACATGGTCTTGAAGGGAGGCTGGTATGGATATTTAATGTTGCTTAACTGGTGATTTCCTTGATTTTTAGTGGTGGCATGCCCAAGAAATTAAACTTTTTTAAAATGTAGGTGTATATATATAACTGAATATAAAAGAATTCTGTAAATTGTGACCTGCAATATTGGCTACTACATTTTAAATAGAATTTTAGTTAAATCAACCTTACAAAACATAGTTTCCCACTTTATTGAGGCAAATAAATTCCTTGATGGATGCCTGAGTTTGTGTAACTGGTTAGTTTTAATAAATATGTTGGGAATGAACAAATCAAAACACTACCCCTACACATGCAACATTAAAATAATCTAAATCATCTAAGGTTAATTTGCATTAAATTAAATTTTTAACTTTTTGGCATTTCTAAACCAGCTGAAGTATAAATAGAGCTTTTAACAGGCCATGTTGCTCCATTTTAATGTCAGGTGCACAAGCAGAAGAAAATGCAGAAATGTTGCAGCAGTTGTCATAGCAAAGAGCTGAAGCTCATAAAAAATGACTTATGACTTCATTCCAGAGAGAGCGAGCCTGGTTGCAGTATTAAACACTATATCCTGCTGTCCTTAATGCTGTTGGCATAGTTAATAAATCTCCTGTGAGATGTAGCTTTCAGGCTTCATCTTGCAGAGACTGAAAAGACAAAGCATCTTCACAGGTAATAATTAAACATTGTCATTCTGTATAATTTATATTAGAATGTGGAGTATTTTACCATATGATTATCATCATGTTGAGTTAAGGGAGTATTAAATAAAATCTGGACCTAACCTGCTGATCAGTGTTCATTTAGATAGAGCCATATTACAAAAACCCTTAACTATTTCCATCTAAAAGCATAAAAACATCAAGCCTGTAACAGCTGCCTCTTGCTCTCTAACTTGCAGACCAAAGTAGCTCATACAGTAGTTGTTTACGATGAAGCATTTTTTAAGCATTAGGTAAAGATCCAGTTTCTGTGGTATTTTATTATAGCTAGCCTGTGAATAGTCTTAGAAAGCTGTTTGAAATCAGACCTTCTAGTATTCCATCTGGTTTGAAAACATTGCCAGTAAAGTGGGAAATAATAAAAATGCCAAGGCTCACGTTGCCAGACATGTCCCTGTAATGTGTATTACCTTGATATTGCACAGACTCTATTTTACAGTGCAGGTAGAGCTCTTTTTTCTAGTTTTCAAGCAACAGGAGTAGGATACTTATGTCTGAAAAGACTCTTGTTTTCCCGTAATGGAACATTTCTTTTTGTCAGACTGTTTGAAAGGGAAAGGTGTTTATTTTAGGCCACATGACCTTAATGACATGGAAGAAAGGTAGAGTTGTGCAATGGGTCTGTTTTATAGTAGATGAACCAAAGAAACATAGTGACCTTCTGCAGGGGATATTAATGAGAATAGTGCTTTTTCCCATCCTGAAAATTGTTCCCTGTGGACACTGATTACTTAAGGAACATAAGAATGTAGAAGTTGCTTTGAGATAAGGCATCTTAACTTAAATACTCCAGTTAGTCCCTTATCTAGGCTCTGACAGTGGTCAATATCATATGACTCAGAAGACCGTGCAAAAAAAACGTATAGTGGAAAACTAGAGAGTAACCAGTTCCTAGGGAAAGTTCCTTCTTAACCCCTTTCAGTAACTTGTTGGCTTATCCATTGAAGCTTGAGAGTTTATAGCCCTTCTAAAAGTGTGTTTTATCTACTGCAACTGTGGATAGTCTCATCTATATAAATGTCTAATCCTTGTGTTTGAATTCTGCTAAACTCTTGGCTTCAACAATACCATGTGACAATGAGGTCCACTAGTAAATTATGTATTCTCCAAACAAATACTTGTTTTTATTATTTTTAAACTTGTTGCATTTTAATTTCATTGACTGTTCCCTTGCTCTTGTATTATGAGAGGGTAGATCAGAACCTCTCTATACCATACATTATTTTGTGTGCCTTCCTTTTGTTCATCTTCTCCCTAAACTAAACAGTCCTAATCTTTTCTATGTCTCTGTTTTTATCACCAATCTCTGGCCCTTGCCCAATTCTCCCACTCCCACCTCTGCCCATTCCTGCTGTGTTTTTTAAAGAAGGTGGTATTTTCTTGGCACAGTATTTTGGGCCATGGTGCATGATTGAGTTACAAAATGGCATTATAATATTTTCAGTGTTGCTTTCTTTTACTTAATATTTTCTTCTGTATCTTAACTACAGAAAACAGGGTAGAAAACAGTCTTTCCCTGTAATATCTTTCTAATCATGACAAAAGAACAAAAATATTAAAAATTTTGCAGGAGGGAAATACTGAAAAAAAAATTATTTTCAGGAGATGCAAAAAGAAATTTTTTGGCATGTTCTCCGACAGCTTGTCACAGTGGACAGACAAGACAGCAGGAAAACAACAGGAAACCTGCATGGTGTCTGGAGGAAGTTTTGCTGCAATCAGTGTGTTCCTAGTTTTGATTTCAATAGATCAGCTTTTACTGACAGAAAAGTATTCCATCCAAAAATTTCTGAACCGATCTAATTTTAACACATACAGCTAGCTGACTGGGTGGCTGTGTGTATATAGACAGTGTGATGGAGGAAGAACATCCAAATTAGAGGAGGGAAAAGTTATATATTTAAAATATTAGTAGTTGTTTCGTGCTGCCACTTCCTTTTGTGTAGGTACATATTATAGGAGACTGTATTGGGGCCGTTGGCATTTAGGGCTCATCAATCAATTGAATGGTGCTAGGGAGAACATATGAATGAAATTTATCAACTAATAGGAAGAAACAAAGCAATCATAGTGGTTAGGTACAGATTTTGGAATTTCTGGCTGTTCATCAGAGAAATAGAAAACAAAACAACTTCTCAGTATTCAGTTCCCTAAGCTGTTGCTGCTTCATTTGCTGACATCATTCTAGCAAGAATGTTTTCTTATTTCACCAAGTAAGTGCAGCTATGCTCTTTCACCTAATATATTTCAAATTTGGATTCTTTATTAAATGAAAATCCTTCTGTAACCAAGCCAGTAAATGATGTGTAAATAACTTTGTGCCATACCTTTTAATTAGTATATAGTAATTCGCACTTCCGTGAAAACATTTTTCTTGTATGGGAGGATTTAGTTTTGTTGTTGTTTGCCATTGGGTAAGATACGAGATGAAGAAAGTGTTGATTTTTTGAATGTTTCCAGTCTGTAATTTATTCTATTGGCATGTGTTTCCCCAGGGAGGTATGGGAGCAGCGCTGCTGTCTGATCCTGACAAAATTGAGTGTGTAAGTATCCAGTTTGTTGGTTTTATTGTGCCTAGAAAAATAAGGTGCTTATGTATAATAATTGAGTAATTCTTGAGCTGCTGGATTTATTTGGCGTGAGAGAGAATTGTGTGAAAAGCAGATTTGGGAGAGCAAGGGATGGAATAATGACTAAAGTTTTGCAGGTTCAAATGAAATTCACATAGATTATACTGCTGGTTTAGTTTCTTTTATAGCCACAGGAACAACAATATTGCTGCTGACTTCCTTTTCAATTTTTACACTTGCACTTTTTTTGCAGTTTTTTGTAGTTGGATTTCCTATTTTTCTGGTTTTATTTTTAGTTTAATTCGAGCACAAAGCACAGCAAACACTTTACAACAACATGACACAGTCCCTGCCCTGAGTAGCTTTACAATGTTTAGTTTTCAATGGCCTACACGTTGGTAGAGCTCTGCAAGAACTCTTATATAGCCTTAAGATTTGGCTCAGTGAGGAGCAGTGGGCAAAACTGAGTATATTCAAGTGAAAATATAACATTCCTTAAATATCAGTCAGATTGCTTCCATATGATAGCCATCAACCTTAGTTGATGTGTTTAGACTATAGTTCCAAATGCCAACAAAAAGTTACAAATTACCTTCTGAGCAGTGGCATTGAATGGCTCTTGAGCTCTTGTTCAGCTCTCCATGTGGCTTTTGTCAGGTAAGGGTCTGGGCAGTGGACTCCTCTTTTCCTCTGCCTCGGGCAGAACGTGTGGAATGTAGATCACAGGAGTACACACTGAGCATATGGTTTGGTGGTCTGAAGAACGGGTGCTGCTGGGATCCCTTCTGAAAGTCAGTGTGTTGTTCCCTTCCATCCAGTAGTTAGTTAGGAGTGGGGTGACAGAAAGGAAACAGGAGGTGGAATAGGAGGGAGATCTCCCAAGCAAGTGTGTGGCTTCCATGCAAGGCAAGAGTTAGGGGAATTAAGTACACTGGGGCTATCCCTTTCTCTTCCAGCAGTCAGAGGAAGCAGAGCAAGGGGACTGATTTGAAAGCACCTTAAGAAGGAGATCAGTGTCCTTATCTCCATTTTGCAAACTGAGACACTGAGGCACAGAGCGGTGAAGTGACCTGCCTAAGGCGATGGCAGGGCAATGGCAGAGCTGGGAATAGTACAGAGATCTGAGTTCCAGTCCAGTGCTCTATCCACTGGGGGAATGTGGAAAAGACCGGAGAGGTTGCAGTAGGTAAGGCATGAGATGACGTTTTACACTCATGGACTTTAAGGTCAGAAGGGACCATCATGATCATCTAGTCTGACCTCCTGCACATTGCAGGCCACAGAACTTATCCCCTTGCACACCTGTAAGAGACCCATGACCTCTGGCTGAGTTACTGAAGTCCTCAAATCGTGATTTAAAGACCTCAGGTTACAGAGAATCCACCAAAGGTTTTAACATAGTAATAGAGAGAATGTGGAGATAAAACTGGCAGGATTTAGTGATTAGTATTTTTTGTGTGTAAGGGAGATGAGACCTCAGTCCAAAGTGTTTAATCTCACACAAAAATGTGTTGCAGTCCTTATATATCCAATAATTTTGACTCTATCTGAGTCAGAGCACTCTTCTTGACAGAGAAGATGCAAGTTTGTGCAAGCAAGTTTCATAGGCTGATAAAAATGTTGTTTATTTACTGAAGGGCAGATGGGTTGATTGCTTCTAAAGTGTGTTGCAAGAAGTTCTTCTACTTTTGTTGCTATTGGGTGTCTGCAATTTAGGCACACAGGTTACCTTTTAATGTGTAGTGTAAAAACATTTTTCTCACGTGGGGTGACTGAGGGGATGACTTAGTAGCCGTTGGCCATTGCCATTTAAAATGATAACCTTTGCATCTGTTATCCTCAATATATGCAATCAATACTTCTTACCAGGTATTTGAATGAAAGCTGTTCCTCAATATTTGACCTTGATCCAAAGGCTGGCCTAGATAGCTCCCACCCTGTTGTTACGAAGGTTTGATTTGACCTCAGGACAATGGACTTCAAAAAAAGCAGACTTGAACAGACTCAGGGAGCTGGTAGGTGAAGTCCCATGAGAAGAAAATTAAAGGGAAAAAGGACTTCAGGAGAGCTGGCAGTTTCTCAAGGAGACGATATTAGAGGCACAGCTGCAAACTATCCCAGTGCAATAGATAGGAAGAACAGTAGAGGCCAATATGGCTTTAATGACCTGAAAATTAAAAAGGAATCTTACAAAAAGTACAAAAGAATATAGGGGGGAAAATCAAAGGCTAAGACACAAAGTGTGTTACACCTCGCAAGGGACATAAAAGGCAATAAGATGAGACTTTTTAAAATACATTAGGAGTAAAAGAGAGGCGAACAAAAGTGTTTCCTGCTTACTGGGAAAGAGCGCTAATAACTGATGATATCATGAAGGGTGAAGATTTTAATGCCTATTTTGCTTCAGTTTTCACTAGAAAGATTAATGGTGACCAGATACTAATATTAAAAAGGGGGAAGGAACTCAAGCTAAAATAAAGAAAGAACAGAATAAAAAATATTTAGGTAAGTTGGCAGGGCCTGATGAAATTCATCCTAGTGTACTTAAGGAACTAGCTAAAGCAGTCTCGGAACTGTTAGCTATTACTTTTGAGAACTCATGGAGGATGAGTGAAGTTCCAGAAGACTGAAGAAGGGCAAACATAGTACCTGTCTTTAAAAAGAGGGACAAAGAGGACCCGAGGAATTATTGACCAGTTAAAGGTAACTTTGATACCTGGAACGATACTGGGACAAATTATTAAACAACGAATTTGTAAGCATCTAGAGGATAAAACAATTTTAAGGAATAGCCAGCATGGATTTTTCAAGAGCAAATCATGCCAAACCAACCTAATTTCCTTCTTTGACAGGATTACTGGTCTAGTGAATAAGTGCAAGTAGTAAATGTGATATATTTTGTTTTTAGTAAGGCTTTTGACACAGTCCCACATGACATTCTCATAAGCAAACTAGAGAAATGTGGTCTTGATGAAATTACTATAAGGTGGGTGCACAACTGGCTTATAAACTTTAACTAACTAACTAAATTTATTGTAAAAAGCAACGTTCCATATAGGAACCTTTATATATTTTTCTTTAGAGAAGTGTTCAAATGTCTTCATATGTTCAACAGAGCAAGATTTACTCATGTTGCTTCTGTAATAGTATTTATCCCCTCCTTTCTTTAGATTCTGAGTACCTTGGTTAAAGGAATTTGTAAACCAGTGACCTGCAAAATCCGAATCTTGCCTTCGGTAAGAACATGTTTTATTATGCTTAGTTCCAGTTAATGTTAACCCTTGTAGCCAGATTAGAATACCATAAACATTAGAATGAAATTTTAAATAATTTTAACCCAATGGATTAAAATATACAGAAACATATACTTTTATTCTGAAATAAGAGTGTCCATGCATTAACTCAATAGAACAATTCCATAAGTAGACAAGCCCAAAGCAACTGACAGTGAATTTCTTAGAGAGGCAAGATGGTTGCGGTAATATCTTTTATTGGACCAACTTCAGTTGGCGAGAGAGACAAGCTATCAACCTTACACAGAGCTCCTCTTTAGGTCTAGGTAATGTACTCAGTGTCACAGTAAATACAAGGTAGAACAGATTGTTTAGCATAAGTAGTTAACACATATTTCAAGGGACCATTCATGGTGAAGAATTTTGCTGACTCAACCTCAAAGAATTCTTTCACAACAATGAAGATGCCACAATTACCACATCCCCACCGGCAGTCATAAGAAAAAAAATCACCTGATTGGACACCTCACAGCGGACCACCACACTCTTATTCATTACATTGATTGCTTCAGGAAAAAAATTGACGAGGATAACAAACCTCACTTCCGCCACAATCTCTCCACCGCTGAGAGGATAGCTGTATAGTCTCTGAAACTCAACCACCAGATAGTGATTAAACCAGCAGACAAAAGGTTCACCATCGTAGTCCTCAATTGTGATGCGTTCTTTAACAACACCAACCAGCAACTGTCTGATTCCACCTACTATAAAGAACTCAAAGTAGACCCTACACTGCAGTTTACCCAGGAATTTAAGGATGTCATCAAATCCTTCCCCAAACAATTCCGAGAGAAACTCTACAACTTCATCCCCATGAACCCACTTCAGAGGATCTTCTGTGTTTTTCCCAAGATACACAAACAAGGAAACCCAGACTGATCTATTTCATCTGGCCCTAGCACTCTTACTGAAGAAATATCGAGACTCATAAAAACCATCCTCAAACCACGCACCACACAAAGGGCCAGCTTCCTCCAAGATACTACAGACTTTCACCACAAACTCCACAGCATTAACAATCTCACTCAGAACACTGTCCTCGCTGATGTAGTTGGTTAGAATTTACCTTTTAGTCACTAATTTCTTTTGCATAGAATAGAGTTGTTAAGCTCCAGTAGTCAATTTGTCTTCTCTTTGGTAATTTCATCTGGTTATTTTCAAATTACTGTCTAATTATGTGCATAATTATTGTGACTGCACATGCAAATTGAATGTATGCACGTATATATGGACAAATGTGTAACTAGTTGTGCAAAAACTGATGTATGTGCAGTGATTGCATGCACAGATTAGGCATGTACACATTCTTTAAAATCATGCATAAAAAGTATTAAAAAAGTAAAATCAGTGTATCTTCAACAATCTGCATAAATTCCAAGGCCAGAAGGGACCATTGTGATAATCTAGTCTGACCTCTTGTGTAGCACAGGCCATAGAACTTCCCCAAAATAATTCCTAGAGCATATTGTTGAGAACAACATCCAATCTTGATTTTAAAATTCAGTGATGGAGAATCCACCAGAACCCTTGGTATGTTGTTAATGGTTAATTACTCTCAGTGGTAACAATGTACACCTTATTTCCAGTATGAATTTGCCTAGCTTCAACTTCCAGCCATTGGATCATGTTATACCTTTTTCTGCTAGATTGAAGAACTCACGATTAAATATTTATTCCCCATGTCGGTATTTACAGACTGTAATCAAGTCACCCCTTAACCTTCTCTTTATTAAGGTAAAAGAATGATCTTCTTTAGTATATCACTATAAGCCAAGCTTTCTAATCCATTAATCATTCTTGTGATTCTTCTCTGAACCATCTCCAATTTATCCACCACATCCTTCTTGAATTGTGAACCCCAGAACTGGACATTGTATTCCAGCCGTGGTCATACCAGTGCCAAATACAGAGAGAACCTACTTGAGACTCCCCTGTTTATGCATTCAGGGATCACATTTGCCTTTTCGGCCACAGAATCACACTGGGAACTCGTGTTCAGCTGATTTTCCACCACAACCCCCTCTACAATCATGAGATCAAAGAACTGGCATGTTCCCTTTTCACTTTGAACTGTCCTAGATTCTCTTCCTTCTTGTTTCAAGCTGGTTTTGCCTAGCATGTATCTTCCAGCAGAACAGCAAGTGAGTGACTGTCTCTATTTCAATGCCATCTGCATCTCCAAAAGGCTGAATGTGCTACAGTAGAACCTCAGAGACATGAACACCTTGGGAATGGAGGTTGTTTGTAACTCTGAACAAAACATTATGGTTCTTTCAAAAGTTTACAACTGAACATTGACTTAATACAGCTTTGAAAATGATGGTCCCCCCATCTTTTTTAGTAGTTTACATTTAACACAGTACTGTACTGTATTTGCTTCTTTTGGAGGGGAGAGGGGGGCTGCTGCCGCCTGATTGTGTACTTCCGGTTCCAAATGAGGTGCGTGGTTGACTGGTCAATTCGTAACTCTGTTGTTCGCAACTCTGAGGTTCTACTCTACTTTCAGATGAACCACAGTCTACTAGCCCAGCTTCTGAAAAGAAAGCGAATCCTTCGCTTTTTCTAAAAGCTGCATAATTGCACATAGCAGGATAAATTGGCAATGTCCTGAATTCCATCTGTCTTTCATTAGGCTCATGTTTTCTCTTTGAAGGAATAGAAGGGTTTTTTTTCTTTATTTCATGAGACAACCAGTAATGTATGGATACTAATCAAATTCTTCAGTCATGGGGGCATTTTTCAACATATAGCCTAGAGAAATGTTTGTGAATATTTCATGCATGAATAGATGTGAGGGTGAATTCAAATTCAATGTGAGTGATCTCTCTTCCATCCAAGAAGCACTATATATGACTTATAGTATATTCAGTGCAATAGTACCTGCCAATCAAGTGTGTTTTTATGTCTTTTAAAAGATAGCCCAGAGATGCGTGAAGGGAAATAGTCTCAAATGTTGTATTCCCTGGGTCAAGCAGGTTCTTAAACTGTAATTTCTAAGAGACGTATTAAAAATGGCATGACTGGAATCCTATTTTAGCCATAATAAATAGTTCTCTAAGTAAAGCTTATATTAAGGGTTATGTTCATATTGAGTATGACTGTTGTAATATAGGAATTGTGTACACTTTGGGAGAACAGATTTCCTGCATGTGTTCGTATAATGATCATGGGATTAAGAGCTCTTCCTCCATCAAACTAAAATAACATGTGTTACATTTTTCCCTCCTCAGCTTGAAGACACTATAAGCCTGGTGAAGAGGATAGAAAAGACTGGTGTTGCTGCCATTGCAGTCCATGGAAGGTAAATATGTTTGTGTGGAAAGATTATTGTTTGTTTGTTTGTTGGCAGGTAGAGAGCAATAAACTAGGACTAGTTAATTTACTTCACCTTGTCTAGTTCAGCTGCAAGGAAGTGGTTCTGATTTCAATGACAGCAGCTGGGTGTTTAGTACTTTACTACATTAGGCTTCTTATTCAGGAGCGTAAATAGAGATTTAGCAGCTTAACTTTATGCTTCTGTTTTTCTAAAATCTTAGCCTTGGTAAGACCAAATAAAAGGCAAAATTATCTAACAGTAAGGAATTAAATAGTTTCATGCTAGATTTTAATTCTCAGGTGTGTGAGGTGTACAGCTGTGCACCCCAAACATTAGGTGCTTCACCTGCACAGGGAACTAAAATAGCAATATTTTTCAAGATGTGTTTCGTGTGAAGCAGGTTTACACCTTGCATATGAACATAAACTCAGACAGACTAGGTTTGTCACTGCAGGACTGGAATTGTCTGCTAAGAGTTTACTTATGTACAATTTCCACTAAAAATCTTTGAACTTGTCTTTTTCTTTCTGTGTTGCAAAGGAAGAAGGAGGAGAGGCCTCAACATCCTGTCCACTGTGAAGTGATCAAAGCCATCTCTGAGGCAGTCTCTGTTCCTGTAATAGCAAAGTAAGTTAGATTAGTTAGGTGATCATTTTAAGGTATCCATGTCTAGCAGTAGACATTATGCCAAGGAAATCTAACTGAGCAAGAAGGGATTAAGTGCAGGAATCTAAGGGTCTCCTCATATAGGGCAAACGAGATAATTACAAATCACAAGGTTAGAGTGAGGCTTTGGTATTAGAAGTTGGCCATCTGAAATGTCACTGTCTTTGTTTCAGTGCAAAAAGGGCTCCTTAATTATTCCTCTGTGTACTAGTGTTGTGTCATGACATGGCCCAGCCCTCCTCTCTGGAGAGACACCAGTGTTTTGTTTGAATCCAACGGCTGAATTCTATGTGCTTCTAAGCCATCTGGGTAGTGACTGATTACTGTTCCTAACTCTGGGTTTCTCAGGCACACTCCCAGGTGCAGACTCCTCCCTTGGCAATAGGACCCTGCTCTCTGATGGCCTAGGCCCTGAAACTAGTGCCACAGCCCTCCCAAGCCCCCTGTTGCCTAGATACATTTCCCCAGAGTACACTGGCTGTGGGAGCTCTGGTTTCTTATCAAAATGTTGGGTAACTTTCCTATATGTCAGAATTGACAGTAACTCTTCATTTAAGGGGACCCTGAAGAATTTTTATGACTAGTTTTAGTCCACCTTTAAAGTGAGTTAGCGTGTTCTGTTACAGTTAGAAAATTGTGGGGAGGGGAAAACAGGATTTTAAATTATTTTTAGCTCACAAAAGGAGCTAGATTGATAATTTTAGAAAATGATGTTTTCTAGCCATAGAACATGGTATAGCATAGCTAGAGGCAGAGCATACTTTTACTCACTGTTCCCCTGCCAGTTTGCCTCAAACTTGAGCCTATGCTCATTCAATGTTAGGCCTTTCTACTACAATTAACAACGAGGGGTACCAGTTTTGGAGGACTTTTTCTGAGGTGCACCTGGTCCACTGGGAATTGAACTGAGATCTTCAAACTCATTTTGCACAGGCCACCAAACAGCATATTCTTACCAGAACAGCTGACTTTTTAAAAAACTATTGTGTCGCTAATGAAGGTGGCACATACAAAATCAGTGCTTGTCTCCTTTAGGGAAACTAAGCCAATTTATGCTTATGGCGGGTGTCTTGAGTTAAGGAGAACCGTTCACTAGAAACTGGATTGGTACCACCTAACTCATTTTACAGAGGCTGCCTACCAATCAGTCATCAGATGCTAACAACTTTTGGCACTACTGGCCTGGTCTGACTTTGGAAGGCTTTCATATCCCATTACTAATAATCCTGTAAGCCAATGATGGGCTGTAGGTTGTACACCACTGCTCTAAGCCAGCCATTCTCCCAGAGTGGTGCTGATTTCCTAAATAGATTATACCAACAATGAATAACATAACAGTCCATAAGCCTTCTGTATTATCATGCATGCCAAGCTCTATTAATGTGCAGAATACACTATTTTCTGCATGGTGGTGTCACGTTAATCATTGTTAATCATAACAAAGATGTTCGTTTTCAGTGGCGGATCTCATGACTTCATCAAAGAATATACTGACATTGAAGCCTTCCAACAAGCAGCAGGTGCTTCATCGGTAATGATAGCTCGTGCTGCCATGTGGAACCCATCCATCTTCAGAAGAGAAGGCCTTTGTTCCTTGAAGGAAGTCATGCAAGAATACATCAAATACGTACGTTTGGGAAGATTTTACCTGTAATTAACATAGTTTAGAGATGTTAACCCAAGTTTCTGTAGGCTGTCTTTAATTCCTTGTTATTTTTCAATTAGTAAAGCTCCTGTAATATTTTTGCGTATTGCATAAGATGAAAACTATTACAATTTTTACCAATTTTTCAGTGAATAAATCATTTAATTTTTGTCTAGTAGACAGCCTTACCTTTTTTTGGTTACATACTGTGCTTGCCTATTCTCATTCTTGATGCTCAGGTTTTAGGAAGATTTCTCAGGCTTTTGGGACTCCCTCAAAAATCTCTGCACTTGTGCAGAGTTAGTGCCAGGAGTGCCAATGTTGTGAATGTGATATTGAATGGAGCAAAGTAGGCATGGAAAGATGAGTTCTGTCTAGGCAGGCTGCAGAGTTTCACGGATTTCTAAAGTCATGTAAACTACTCTAGAGAATTATATTCCTCTTCTAGAAAATGTTAGGGTTTTTTTCAAATGGCAGAAAAATACAGAGAAGGTTGTTCAGTCAGCTGTTTCATTATAGTGTTATAGTTCAATTGGTGGGCCATCTACCCTGTAATGTTGACAAAGAGATGCTGTGAAGGAGCAGAGAGATGGCTGCCAGGTACAGCAGTGGGTTCAGCTAGCCCCGCCCCTTATACCTGCAGCCAATGCCAGGCCTAAAAGGGGGAGAAAAGAAGGGAGCCTGGCTCAGTCAGGGGCTGGCTGACTGACAAGAGGCAGGAGCTCTCTGTGTGTCTACCTGAAGGCGCAGCCATTGGAAGCAAGTAAGTCTTCCCCTGCCAAGGGGAATCTACCGCCAAGCCCCAACTGTGGAGAAACTGGACTAGCAGGGCCATGCCCCAAACTAAAGGACTTGCATAGGGAACAGTTCAGACAGCAGGTCCTGAGTGCCCCCCCCACCCCAATCTCACGGCTGGGAGCACGATCCGTCTCCCCAGTGCAGGGGTGTGAGTCGCCCAGGACTCTGAGCCAGGACCTGAGGGAAAGGAAGGACAGGTTCCCTCCTCCAGCCCCTAACCAACGATCTAACCACTAGGTTGCCTGGCCACTGAAGGCCCTATCACAAATGCATATTTAAAAAAAAAAACAGGTGAAAAGAATTGGACTTCAGTGACTGACAGTGTCTTAATTTTTTTCTTATTCAATTTTGTAACCATAATGAGAAAAAGCTACATACTAAAAATCTAGAAAAGTTCAATTTAAAATAAGTTAAAGTTTAAGGCCTAAAATGCATCATCACCTTGATAGATCAGTCCTTCAGTCCTCGTATAGATTGCACCGATCACAACACGTCTTCCATTCTGCTCGTATTCTGGCCTTCCTTCTCCTTGTGCAGCCATGTCTTTTCACAATAAAATCTTCCCATCTCTTTGGAGATCAGCCGAGTGGTTGTTTCAGTTCCTGTGGGTACCACTCAGCGACAGCTGCAGTCCATTGATTGTCAGTGAGCCTCGCTGCATTCCCGGCCCATCGCATTTTACTATGCCTGCTCTCAATGGCGACGTCTTGCACTCCCCACACTGCTGTCTGATCACTTCATTGGGGACTCGGTTGTGGATTGAAATTCCCAGAATTCTTCTTTCCATCACCATCTCCGTGGCAGACAGTTGTTGCTCCTCTGTCTTCGTCAGCGCCCATGTTTCGCTGCTGTATAACATTGCTGGCAGTACTGTTGAGTTGAAGGTATTGTGTTGATCGCCGAAAATACTGCAAGAACTCAACACAAAAAGCAGCCAAGTCAGACTGAAAATTAACCACTCCAAAACAAAATGTATGCAGTCGGATACCTTGCCAAAAGCCCAAATAACAATCAAGTGTGAACAAATAGAAGAAGCTGAGCAATATGTCTATTTGGGCCAAGAAATTAACATGTGCCACGATCAGGAAGGTGAATTCTCGCAAAGAAAGAAAGCAGGTTGGTGCGCATTCAATTCTATCAAGGATGTCCTTCAAGGAAAAATCAACAAGGCAACATGCGCCAGCCTCTTCAACTCAACCGTACTGCCTGCAGTGTTGTACTGCAGCGAAAATGCATCATAAAGAAATATATTTTCAGCCCTACAAAGGTGTGCCAATTTGTTTGTGCTATTAATTCCATTGTCATTGGTGTTAAACCAGAGATGAATTTGGCCCAGTCTGTTGTGTTGCCTGTGTTACGCAGTTAAGTACCAAAGATTATTCCTAAAACAGCATTTACTTATGTCCATATCAGCAAGACATTTGTGAATGTGAATAGTCCCATTGACTTCAGTTGGACTGCTTACACACATAGGTACCTTGCTGAATTGGAGACTTGGCTAACAAGGCTGCATTTGCAGTAAGTGAAAGCTGTATTTATTTTTATACAAAACCTTCCCCTCTCCCCCAACCAAATACAGCTTTGATCTGTTTAAATCATGAGGGTAAAATCAAGGAATGACAAATGGAAAAGGACAAAAATCAAATTAGTCAAACTTCCACTGCACTCAAAGGTGTAAGTCCATCAATTTGAGTAGTAAAGTAGTATAGGTGTGAAATTCTTGTCAACTACTTTCTTGTTTTTCTCAAGTGTATAAAAAGCCAATAAAATAATTCAGATTTTTTTCCAGAAAAAAACACCAAAAGAGTTCTGGACTATGTTAATAAATGAGAGTACTGAGTAGACTTTACTTTATTGAGAACTGTGTGTGCTGTGCTGTACATTCCTTAAACTATGTTGAAATGCAGCCAGAAACACGTGAAAGGTTAGATAATAGGAATAGTACTTTCTTTAGTGTATTTTTACATATTACATGTCTCTTTCCTTCAGGCAGTGAGATATGATAATCACTATACCAACACAAAGTACTGTCTGTGTCAGATGTTAAGAGAACAGTTAGAAACCACAGAGGGAAAGAAACTGCATGCTGCACAGTCAACTCAAGAAATCTGGTAAGCATTTTATATAGGGAGTAGAAATTGCCATACTGGATCAGACCTGTGGTTCATCTAGTCCAGTATCATGTCTCCAGCAGGTGCCAGCATTTCCTCTGTTGGTACCAGAGGGATGAGCTTTTCCTTGACTCAAGCTAAATCGTAGGGGATTTTTTTCTGCCACTGTCATACTATAATTCTGTGTTTGCAATATGTTGTTTTACATCTTTAGGATAACTGTTTACCTCCCTTTCTTTTGGTTATCTGGCAATGAGTGGCAGTGTTAGCCAGAATGTGCTCAATGCAACTGTATGCAATGTGTCCTTGTCTGTCTGGCCACAAGAAAATGGGGCTGTTGTCTCTTTAAGGGCTCCCTGTGTAACTAGTAGCAGAAGGGGGAGGAAGGGGAAAGCTTGTGGGGGGAGGAGAGGGGTGCTCTTACAAAAACTGATTGTGTTAAATTTTGGATGCATCTAGAGAAATGAAAGGCACAGTTTATAAAAATGAAATAATTAAACCCAGACCTTCACTGTATAAGAGCAATGTTATGCCATTTTGAAAATACGTTCCACAGCTTTTTTGCATTTTTGTACACCTCAAAAGAGATTGACCAGAAAGCAGTTTCACAGGCCTGTCTTAGCAGGTCCATAAGCCTTTGGAGCAATGTTTTGAACAGTCTATTTAATCACTACATAACTGAAGAACATTTAGTTCTTTTTAAAATGAGAAAACATCTCTGTAGATAGTAATATGATTTAACACTGCTACCTAGTGGTGTTGATGCTAAATTGCCCCTAGTAAAAGTTTTAGAATGCTACAGTTTTCATTCTGATTAAGTGCTAGTGTGTGCTCTAATATAGTAAGGTCAGAAAAGAGTTTACATGGCTCAGCATATATGGATGGCCTTATTCACTCTAAGGAACCTCCTCATTTACATAATAATTCATCCTGTATTGTTCTACTGATAACAATGGAGACCACAGTGTACACATGCATTTTTACTATTGAGTTGCCTAACCCCACTATGAGACATGTTCTGATACAGTGGTTTAAAAAAAATACTGAATATTGTGTACACTACAGCTTTTGTAGTTACTACCACCTGTGGGGAATTATGGATTCCAATTTTGCAAGTGCAGTTGCACCTATGATCTATCTAATGCATAAGATGTTAATCGGAAAAAGGACTATAAAAATGTCACCTTGCTCAACAGATCTGCTCTCTGTGTATTCAGAGTCTTGTCTCTTTACTCTTTTGACAGTGTTAACTACTTCTTGTTCCTACTAGCTCTTCAGACCTGATACAGGTCTGGGAGAGAGAGTTGGGTTCTTTTTTGACTTATGCATCTGTAAAGTTGTAATTTTAATTGAAATGGCAGAATCTGTGATGGCTTCTGGCTTGGCTTTCAGATCCCAGGTTGAGTCTTTAGGCCAGCAGGTAGAGGAGTGAACTTCTTTCTTGTAAACTGAGCAAGCTTTGCAAGAAGTCAAGAAGAGATGATGAACATAGAACCCCATGACTCTGGACAGTGTTACTTTGCAGCATATAACTGTACCTCAACTTAGTTTTCTAAGCACATGTAACTTATTTGAAATAAATTTTTAATATTTATTTTAATTATTAAAATTGTGTGTGAACACACATAAATTCTCTCCTAATGCTAATAATAGAAGTAATATTTTTTAATAGTGAAGTCTTTGAAATGGGCAGTTTCTATGAAGAAACAACAGCTATTCTGGAAGCTAAGGCATCATTAAAGGCCAAGACACAAGATGAAGATGAGCAGATGGAAGACACAGATGTGATAAAAATGGCTGTTAGATTTGACAAGTAAGCATGCAAAGTTAATTCTTCACCATCTTTTTGAACTTACAGTTACACTTTTGTCTGATCTTTGGTACCTGACAAAACTTTTATAGGTGGAAATCGGCAGTTCAGATGTTACAGCAACATCTTGGATAAACTTTTTAAGAGGAGACAGTCCATATACTGTTTAATTAAATAGTGCAATATGTTAATTGATGATGAAAAATTTCAGGTACACATAAAAGAACGTGAACATTGATCTAAACAAAGCTGTTTTGTGTGTTAAAACTTCATAGAGTTTAATTCTTTTTAATGAAATTTAATTAAGTCTCAGTATATTTTTCTAAATACTGTATTTTTTTTCTGCTGACACAAGGAAGTTCCAGCAGGAAATTACGAAGTACATAGTAATAAGCAGCCTCAAAATGCTTTTCCTATTAAGAAAATATATTTTTAAGGGATAACAGTCAGTGATTAGTTAAGTATATTAACTATATAAGTATATTAAGTATATCTACTGAAACTAGTCCTCCTAAACGTATGTACTGTGCAGGAGCTTGAAAGCACATTAATAATTTTTCTTTAATATGTACCAGGAATCTTCAGAAGATGTCTCCAGGCATTCCATGAGACATTAAATTGAGGAACTGTGGGAATCACAGTTTGTAAACATTCTGTTATTGATCTAAGACCGTGGTCCCCAACCTTTTCCGTGGGGTGGGCACCGGATGACTAGCCACCGAGGACA